ATTGGGATGAAGCTTGGAAGTCACTTCTTTATATATTTCTTTTCTTTTTCTTTACTATATTCTTACTTTTCTTTTTTTCTTTCTATTCTTTAAATCTTTTCTTTTTTTCTCCTTTTGCACCTTTTACTCTTTCTTTCTATTTTTCTTTCTTTTAGTTTGTATTAGTTTTTACTAATGTAATTATAAACTTTAATAAAAATTACTTGAAAAAGAAACAAATTAAGTATTTAATAATAGGGAGAAGTAGCACCTTGGCTCAGTAGGACCTCTGAGTAGACAGATGTTCTGTTTCTATTTTGTAAATAGCTTGACATGTTTTTCTAGAAAACAGTTTAACTGATGTTGCTGCTTTCATCTTCAGGTCAGTTTTTTCATCCAATTGACTTTACCATACTTGAGGTCCATCCTGGATCTAGTCCTGAGAAACCAGATGCTACCATGATTGTTAAAAATCACCAACTGACAGTCACCAGGTAAACATTAATTCAAGTATTGTGGAAATGGCATTTTACCTGCATGAAGTTTGTCTTTTATTTCACTCTCTGTGGTTTTCCTGCAGGGGATGGCAAAAAGACTACACAGAAGATTCAAGGCACGGCACAAATATTCCATGTTGGTTTATTCACAATAATGGAGAAGGACTGATTGATGGCACATACATTGATTATATAGTCTCTAGTCTGTTTTAGTCAAACGGATTTAACTACGGCTATGGCATTTTGAAATAATAAAATATCATTATTTCATGCCACGTGCCCAATGACTGCAAAATCATAATAAATCATATTTTCTCCTCTTTAGTAAAGTACTGCTATCCTATATACATACATACATATACATATACATATACATATACATATACATATACATATACATATACATATATATATATATATATCTCATAAATCACCAAATAATTTGCAAAACTCATGAGCTATCATGGCTTCCATTCCTTTCATTAATTACAGGGCAGATGTCTCTCTTTTTAATATTAACTCTGATAGTTTCTTCTCTAGTTAAATGAAACAAAATATAATGTTAGGAAAAGATTTTTAAAAATATGTTAGGAATCTTAGAAAATTGTGTATAACATCTTAGAAAATTTTGTATAATATTTCCAACTGCTATTAAAATTTGTGCTACAAGATTTTCAAATAAGTGTATGTGTGCTTGTGCATATTCTATACATACTAGCTAATCATCATCTAATAATAATAATAATTTCTTACATTTCAAGGCTCAGTACAAATCAAAAAGATACATAATTATAAAATCCAATCCAATAAAATTAGTTTACAACTTAACAGCCAAACCTAAACAAATATTAACAACAAACCAAACATAACAACTGTACATATTTAAAACAGTGCCTTGCAATACAACCAAGCACATATAAATCCATATATATATCCACAATTAAAATTAAAACAACCAGGATTGTAGGGAGAAATAATGGCAGACAAATCCTGAATGGGGTGAGGGTTCCTAACACAATGACTGGTAATTTAACTGGGGCTCTGGTTTAGAGAAGGAACCAATGACGAGCACTGTAATATGCAGATAGTCCTTGCTTAGCAACCACAATTGGGACTGGCGAGTCTGTTGCTAAGCAAAACATCATGTGACCACAACAGGCTTACGATCTACTTCTGTGATGTCATTAAGCGAATCACTGCAGGTTGTTAAGCGAGATATCACATGACCGTGACTTGTGATATTATTGCTAGCTTCTCTATTGACTCTGCTTGTTGGAAGCCAGTTGTAAAGCATGTGGATGGCAATCACATGACCATGGAATACTACGACTGTCGTAAAAATAAGGACTGGTCATAAAGTGACTTTTTCAGTGCCGTCATAGCTTTGAATGGTTGCTAAACAAGGGAGTTGGTAAGCAAGGTCTACCTGCAATGACATAAGACTTGCCAAAAGGCACTGTTCTGAATCAAGATTATGGGATGGAGAGAGGAATTGGGAGCACCTGCCAGGAGACTATTGCAGTCATACAGGCATGAAACAACCAAGGCATGCACCAATAAAGCAGTAGCCTCCTCCATTACATCCTACAAATACTCATCAAATGCCAATAGGCATGATGGAACACCCAATCAGGTGTACCTAACAGAAGAGCCAGTCCGAAGGTTCTCAGGATGTGCCTGTTGATGGTGCATATCCTTTCAAACTGCAAGTGCCATGTGAGTAATCAAATGTTGGAAAGCTTTTTCGTATAAAAAGTATCAGGCATACAAACCTAATATTTGATGAACTGGTCATCTATATCACTCTGCTAAAGAGATAGGAAGATTTTACCATGCATAGAATACAAGGAAATTCTAAAATGTTCTCACCATTTTGTCAGAGGATAAATTTCTTTGAAGCACTTTTCAGTAGGAATTATGACACTTGTGTGACTTGTATAGCTTTCAACATCATGTTTATGTACCTGTAATGAATATGAGATTGTAGGAGAAGATCCCATGATCAATCAATAAACCAATGAATACAACTGAAACTAGGTTTGCACACTGTGGGAAACCTCCTGCAAGCTTTCGTGTGCCACAGGCATCATCAGTTGGGACCATAAATGTTGACTTCTAGCACCCACCATGGCTTTGGTCAATTGGGGCTTTTGCACAACACTTTTTAGTATCATATAGAAGGTGTGGACTAAGTTACCAGCCTTAGTTAATACCTGTGCCATATGTAGCATTCCATACCAACAGTAAAGACAGCACCAGTCAGTTTTGGCACATTTGGGCCAAAGTACACCCAAAGCTTACTTTTACTCCAACATATGCATGCTATTCTATCAAGTTAGGATCTCAATTTAGAGACTATTTCGTAAGCCAATAAACTGTTCCCATCAGCCGGGGGTCCATGCAGTGTACTGTCACAACATAATCACTTTCCCATATCATGTTTAAGATCTGCATATTACTCCCTCTTTGAGCCATATGCATATGTATATGCACAGCAACTTACACATCCAGGAGGAAAAATGCTTTTCACCACTGACAGTTGAAATACTGCTAAGGCGCACTTTATATGGTCATTCTGTCACACACAAGTGCAAAATGCAGGAATCTGCAGTTTCTGAAATGAGGACACTTGGAGGTCTGCAAAATATTGCTCCAACTTATTGGGACTCCAGGGCCCTCTCTTATTAAAAGAAGAACCTTAATCATAGAAATAGTACCCATTATTTTAATCTGAAGGCTGCATATGCTTAATTACTGTAGACAGAAAAAAAAGGGGGGCGGATGATAACATCTTTTAAAATCACAATTTCTGTTACAGAAAATTTGGAAAATTTGGAAAAAATTTTAAATTAGTGTTTCTTCAACTAAGGCCTAAACTGAAGTGCTATCCATCCACCCTTTTGCCTTTTAGCTTCTCTCATTTGTCTTTGACTGAGCATCACACACAGTGATCTTATCCTGATTCATTTCACAGGGCAGCCATTATGTGACTCTTTCAAAAATCCCCAAAGTTTGGAGACTCTGATTTTAATATTAGACATTAATGCTAAACTCTATAGGTAATAAAAAGAAAAGAAACACTATTCTCTGCCTTGTATCCATGCCCTCCCAAATGGTTTGACCCAAGAGGATTCAATATAAGTAGCTACTATGCTCCCCATTCCAGAAAACTGTGTTTTCTTAGTGGGCCAGGACTCACTGAGTTCCTAGGGACACATAAATGCATATATGTACATAGGACTGTTACTTTAATGTTGATTCTGCTATTGGATATATTGATAGTCTACAGTATGTCTGGAGTGGTACTACCACTAAAAGATCAAGTCCCTCTTTTAAAAAATGTCCATCTCATTACTGATATTATTATAACTGTGTGCTGTGTTGCAGTTCAAGATATGTGGAGCTCTCCTCCCTCCACCTAACATGTAACTATTTTTCATTAACTTGTGTGTAGCAAGGAAAGTACTTAAAAAGTTATTCACTAAATGCTGCTACTTTTGTTCATTTGGGGAGAAATAGTAATACGTACTGAGAGCCATTGGAATAGTAGTTAAGGTACCAGGCTAGAAACTGGAAGATCATGAGTTCTAGTACTGCCTTAGGCATGAAGTCAATTGGATGACCCTGGGCCAGTCACTCTCTCTCAGCCCTAGGAAGCAGGCAATGGAAAACCACTTCTGAAAAACCTTGCCAAGAAACCTGCAGGGACTAGTCCAGGCAGTTGCCAGGAGTTGACGCTGACTCAAAGGTACCCCCCTCCAAAAAAAATCCTGCAAAG